GCGCGTGTTAGGTACGACCAAATAAGAAAGGGACGCGTGGAAGGAACGGTTGGAAAAACCATGCGTGACAGCTCATGCGCAAAAAAAAAAAAAAAAAAAAAAAAAAAAAGAAATCCTTAGGATTCTTGATTTAATGAGGTAACAACCTCGGTTAGAGGGATGATCCCGGTTAAAGAACTTGGTTTTTGGTTCTTAGTCATTGATTACAATAGACAGTTGAGTCCTGAATACTTGAAACCGACGAGTCATGATCTCGGTCGAAGGAAATAGTGAATTTTAGCCGGCATCATCTAGGAGTGGGCGATGTAGGTTCTTTCATCTCAGGATGCCGAAGTAATAGAACCTAGGGGGCAGTTGTGGGGACATATTTTGTGAATAATAGCACGTGGCCATGGTGGCGCTGAAATGTCAGCCGAGATACCACATGGCCTGGTCATATTGCCAGGGTTATCTCGGTTAGGCCGAGGTTATCTGCGAAGATATCGAAATCCGAAATGAGTGGATAAAGGGCAAGAGTCCTTAAACAGGGGAGGATCTCAATCTAGATAAAGATAAAACTCTTAGGGAGTTTATCCCTATCTAGCTGAGAGTCTAGGATGAGCATTGAGCTTGAGTCAACTGAAGTCAGGCTTCTACAGGGATCAGGTCAGTGCTGGCTATAAAAGCAAGGCACCCTCGTGAGTCTGAGGTATGTGTGATATACTGTGAGCAATAAGTTCTTTCTTGTGAGTTAAGCACAATTAGCTATCTTTGAGAGATATTTGATTACTGATTTGAGCGTCGAAGTGCCCCCCGGGTGGACGAACCACCGTCGAATTCTCATCTTCTTGTGCAGGTTGTTGGGCTTAATCTATTTTGCCGATGCTCTCCAGCTGAGTTCTTTTTTTGGTTGTATGTTCAAAAATCAACACCCATAATGACTATTGAATTGTTAAATTATAATTATTCAAATTGATATAATTCTTTTTATATTTGTTATCGATTGGCAAAAAATTAAAACAAATCAGGCACTCTTATCTTGTTGTTAACTCTCAAAGGAAAAGAATGGATTGGTTATCAAAATAAAATTGTTAGGTCCCTTGTTTTGTCAATTCTGCAAACAAACACATTTAAGCTGTGTTGTTGAGCCTGTAAATTTTCATACCGCTCGAGCGGTGCTTTTGCGCTCGAGTGCTTAAATGAATCATCCAGTATTTTAGGCTTAGCTTTGAGATACTGGGAGATTGCATTTATCGCTCGAGTGTACACACTCTTGCTCAAGCGAAGTGGCTTGTTTTTTTCATCGGCTCTTAGACACATTGCTCGAGCAGGTCTTCACGACCCTGTTTGTTTTAAATTGCCTCTGATGCTTTCTTTTAGGGTAACCTCTTCCAGATATGAGATTGGTGATCTAAGATTTTTTGAGTATTCATCTGGAGAGCTTGGCATATATTTCCCTTGATGATATTGTGAGTTTTTCACCTCACATAGATTGAAGAGCATACATCAAGGGGCTTGTTACAAATCAAACTTTCGAAGAGCGTTCTTCGATGGATTCCAAAAGGTTTGAGCTTGAAAGTTTTGAAGGCGTTTGAAGCGGCTCATCATTGTGGATTCAACATTGGTATTGTGGATTCAACACCAGACTAATAAATTCTGAGACAAACACTACAACAGAAACACATTTTAGTGACACTATACTAGTGGCATGTTTTTAAAAAATGTCACAAAAGAATATTTGGTAGCATTTTTTAGAAAAATGTCATAGAGCCACAAACATACAAGGCTCTAGTGGCATTTCAATTAAAAAAAAGTGTCAGTTCACTACAACAAAAATGTCACTACAACAAATTTACATTTTAGTGACACTACACTAGTGACATGTTTTTAGAAAATGCCACAAAAATAAAAATTGGCATTAAATGTTTTAGAAAAATGTCACAGAACCACAAACATAGACTCTAGTGGTATTTCAATAAATAAATATCACATCAATTTTATGACATTTTATAAAATAATGACACAAAAAATTATGTTCGTGACATTTACCAATAGATACCACTAAACTTTAGTCGCAATGACATTTTTTAAAAAATGTCAGGACACCAGGTAGGTGCAAATTAATTTTTTATGGCACGTAGGTGAACAGTGTCATAAACAAATATTTTATAGCATTTTGAGAAATGCCACTAAGCCAAAAACTTTCCAAGCTTATAATGGCATTTTTGAAAAAACAAAAATGCCAATATATTTTCTAAATTTTTAAAATGCAGTAAATGATTAAAAATAAATAAATTAAACTCCATATACATTACGGAAAAAGCACATTCGGCGACTAAATTTCCTGACCAAAAAATTTTGGTCGCTGAAAGTATAGCTTTCAGAGACCAAAACAACATTAGTTGTCAAAAGTAAAGCTTTTTGGTGACTGAACAATTTTAGTAGCCAAAAGTCTATAAATGGCGACTAAAACTAAGTTTAGTCGCTGATTATATGGGTTTTAGTGACTAAAAAATTTTCAGTAGCTCAAAGTAAAGCTTTTTGGTGATTAAAAAAATTTAGTAGCCAAATCTACAATTGGCGACTAAAAATAAGTTTGGTCGTTGATTATATGAGTTTTACCAACTAAAAAAATTTTAGTAGTTAAAAGTAAAGCTTTTTGATGCCAAAAAAAATTTTAGTAACCAAAAGTCTACAATTGGCGATTAAAAAATAAGTTTAGTTGCCAAAAGTGGTCATTTTTAGCGCGAGAGAACTAAAATTCTAAGGCGGAAATTAAATTTTTTGGCGACCAAATCTGATTTCGTTTGGCAAAAGTTAAGTTTTTTAACAACTAAAAAACAATTAGTAGCCAAAAGTATAGAATTGGCGACTAAAAAATATTTTTAGTCGCGAAAAGTGGTCTTTTTTTATTTTGCTAGTAAATAGCTTATTTTACATAAATTATGTTCAATAAAATAATTATGTTTATACATATACTTTTATATTAATATATAAATAATATATGTTGGATATATAATCATGTGGTGCTATACAGGTGTAGTGGGAAGAGTGTGGTGTATAAAGTTTATAGTGCGGGAGGTTGGCGATTCAAGTCTCTGGGAGAGCGGATAAAATTGTTCTACAACGAATTATCGTCACGAATGACACTTGATAGCGTCATGAATAGTGCCTACCATGACATTAAAGTGTCACTGAAAGGTTTTAGTCTTGATGGTGTAATGACACTTATAAGTGTCACTAACTCTTTTTTTAATGGCGCTTGATAGTGCCACAAATAATATCTACTATGACATCAAAATGTCATTGAAAGCTTTTAGCCATGATGGTGTAGTGGCATTTGCAAATATCTACCGTGGTACGGATACAAATGGCACTTGTTCAAAATGTCACAAGACTAAAAAATGTCATTAAACTAAAAATTTTGTGACACTTTCAAATGTCACTAAACTAAGAAAATGTTGTAGTGAAAGATGTTGATGAAAGGGGCACAAGAAGTGGAAGCCAATTCTTGAGTGAGTGTTTGTGTAATTTCATTTTCTTCATAGTGGATTGTTTAGTGGCTTTAAGCCTGTAAGCTCCGAGCTCCTCTTTATTGATGTACTCTTCTTTTATGATTTCATCAATAAAGATTTCTTCTTGCTGATCAAAAAAAAAAAAGAAAGGGGCACAAGAAGTGGAAGCCAATTCTTGAGTGAGTGTTTGTGTAATTTCATTTTCTTCATAGTGGTTTGTTTAGTGGCTTTAAGTCTGTATTTTTTTTTTTATCACAATTGAAGGTGTTTCAATTTTTATTTTTTACATGTTAAAATCTTTTGTATCATTCATCAATTGTGAACAATAAGTTAAATCACTTTTGTACTTTCTAGCTGATTTGGATTGTTTGTTTGCTATGTTTTGGGATTTGTAGTAATTCAATCTATTTCAAATCACAAATCACATAATTTAGGTTTTTCACAAACTCTAAATTGTTTAATAAAAATGTTTAGACAATAATCAATTCTAAATGTACATACCAATGCATTTCATTCTTGTTCTAAATTTTGGGTTCACAATTTTTTAACCAAACAGAAATTTTCTTTCTAACTTGCTGCACAAATTAACTATAAAGGAGCGAGACTCATGTTGTATTTAATTTTTTGGTCCAAGCATTGGTTTATTATGATCATGATCTTTATATCATAATATTGTTAGGGAAACTTTTTTATTAATTTTTTCATTGTAAAAGGGTAGGAGTGGATGACTAGAGCATGATAACCATCTTTGTACGTCATCATAAGAGTCTCTACACGTCAGAAAAGTCCAACCAAAAAAAATAAATAAATAAAATTTCTACCTTTATATGTATGCCTCCAAGTTGTAAAGTGATACCATTACTCCCTTTTTTTTTTTCTTTTTTTTTTTTAAATTTAAAAATTACCATGAAAGAATGAATTTAACATTATAAACTAGGGTATAGGTAGGGATCTCAAGGAGATGGGTACTTCCAGAACATGTGGGATGTGCATATTACCCATACAAGTCAACCTTCCCTATTTGTCTATTACATTTTTTTATTTGTTGAGTTTCCTAAAAAAAATTAACCTTTTTTAGCTGGTATATCATGTTGAAGTCATCCCACTAAATGATTATTCCTTTTCAGTTGAGCATGATAACAAGCACAAAAAACATTTTCTTTTCCATCTCATGTTAGTGCATACATGTATTCCAACCATTATGGGAGCAAAAGAATATTTGTAATAAACAAATAAATAAAAACTTCATTCATCATCCAAAAGAAACAAAAAAAGAGAATAATATATATTTAACACCTGGAATTAGCATTCATTACCATAAATACTACTGGAGACATTGGCTAGCCAAATTACAGAAAAAGAAAAGAAAAGGAAAAAAAAACTACATTGAAAGAGAGAGAAAGAGAGTTGGAACAAGATTTGAAGGCAAATGACATAAGAGTAGAACTAGTTACATAATTGCTTGACACACAATCCACCAAACCAAACTAGAGATGATTAGTTCAGCTAGACCGGCACAGTGACTTCAAGGTTTGGCTTAACTATATTGAGCTCTCTAGCTATGTTGTGTCCATTTAAATGAAGCATGACTGGACCGATTTCTTGACATGCGATTGAGCTAAGCTTCACAACGTCGATCACTTGTTCGACTAATTCAGATAGCTTCTCTTCCTCCAATGCTATCACTTCGTTTGGTATTTGATCAGAAGAAAACTTTTGATCTTTCACAACTTTCTTTGGGTTCTTGTATATCGCGTAAAGCACCATTTGAATAATTCCAAAAATAAACCCCAAGACATTCGGAATCTATTTAAAAAAAAAAAGAAGAAGAAGGTGAATTCTTATTAGTATAGCTTCATGGGAATGTCAAAAATAAGAAGCGCTTTTAGTTTTGTAAACAAACTTACAGCAATGTTGAAGTCTTTTATTAGAAGGCCATAGAAGAACCACATGATTGCGTTAAGCGTAAGTGAAAGTGATAAGGAAAATGGCATGAACTCTACGCTCTTTGTTCGTATCACTTGTTTCTGAAGAACAAGAACAAAAAATAATAATGAATACGATAACATACAATATATAAATTAAACGAAACCATAATGAATTAGTATATATATATATGCATATATATTTACCAATATGCAGAGAGGAGCGGCGAAAACGCTCACAGATAACACTAGGCATATCCAACCAACGATGTGAAAGCGGGTTGAGCTTTTTTTGACAAGAAATTGAGTTAAGATAAGGATCGCGCCAAACACACCAAGCATGAGTCCAATTAGTTTCACGGTTTTGAACTGTATTTTTCAAGGCCAAATTTGAGAAGTTAGAAAAATTATTTGATTAATTGGTTACACAAAATGTGTATAAATTAGAGAATTTATTTTTACAATACCTTAATCTTCTTGGGCGCGTAAAAGAGATAAACGCAAATATAAATAATTTCCACCAAGCATCCAAATGAGTTTATAGTGATGATAAGCGTAGAGTCATTCTTCTTAAGAAACGCATAATACATCAACAGCATAGCACTGAACAAGGCAACTATGTAAGGAACCGATTGGAATCCTTCGGTTGATTTTTTCTTGAATATTTGGTAAAATGTTGGCCTGAAAACAATGTCCAAAAGTGTTGATTCATCAAGCTCAAAAAATTTTAAAAAAGAAGAAGAAAGTCTTAAAAGAAATTGAAATAGCATGCAAAAAGAACAAAGAACTTACATTGGCGAAAGGAACACGAAGAATGAGATGATGTTGCCTATTGTATAATCATCAAGAGCAAAACAAAAGAACACAAGTCATTAAATATGTTTTAAAATAATCAACCATGCTTTATTATTTTTTTTACCACTTATGCTATTTAAATAGTTTAAGCTAGGAAATAGTATACTCTTAGTGCTCATGTTCTCTCCATATTATATATGCCACTTCTAAGCGAGAAATTTCACTATCATATGAGGCTCTAAAACAAAAACGACAAAAACATTTTCGAAGAAAATTAAGAAGAAAAAACAAAAATATACCTAAAAGGCCAAATGCGAAAGCCAAATTGTGACTAGAGAACCCACCCATCTCTCTTGCTCACTAAAAATCTTCACTCTCACTTCTCAAAGATCACAATATGAAGTTGTGTTCTCAAATGAAGAACTAGCTTCTACTTCTCACAAAAGCACACAAAACCAAGAGTTTTTTAGATGGGACACAAAACCAAGAGTTGTGAGACTCATTTATATAGAGTGGAGTGGGACATTGAACTAAGTCGGTTATTTTTTATTTATTTTTATTTTTTTAAGAAGCAATGTAACAGTGGGTTGCTAAACACCTTTTTGTTAGTATTTACTAGGGGTGAAAGAATAACCGGAAGGACCGATCAAACCGACCGAACCGAACGGTTTTCGGTCGGTGTTTTAAGTTTTCAATCGTTCGGTTCAGTTCGGTTTATGTTTTTCTGTACATTTGGTTCGGTTTACGGTTTTTAATTTTTTGAACCGAACCGCACCGAACCGAACCGAACCGACTTATATAATATTAATAGGTCCAAAATTTGAGGCCCCAAACCTATATAGGAATTACATGGCCTGAGCCTAAATTTTATGCAAAATGGATAGAAATATAGGCCCAAAATGTGAGGTCCAACTAGGGAAAAAAAAAAGGCCAAAAAACCGAAAAAATCGCACCGCACCGTAATAAACCGAACCGCACCGGTTTATGTTATTTTTCTGAGCGGTTCTGTTCACAAATATGAAAAACCGAAATGATCGGTTCGGTGCGAAACTAGTGAAAAAACCGACAGTTGTTGAAAAGTTAACTTTCCAACAGTGGACAATTATTTTTGGAGTCTCAGGCGAAATATCAAATAGAGACTTGTTAAACTAAAATTCCTCAATTTTTTAAGTAGTAAAAAATTTATCTAAATTTATTTTTTCTTCTTTTCAATATTAAGTTTTATTTTACTTACCAATTAAGCTTTTATAATCTTTTTTAGAGAGAAGAAATGTCGATTTTATTGGAAGATGTTAGACTTCTAGTACATGTGACTATTTTGGAGGACCAAATCATTAAAATATTATTTTATCTAGATCATTCTAGAATTTTTTTTTTCCCTCTCTCTATTTGATGCAGTACAAATATAGAAGAAAAAAACACGAGGCTTCCTTTTTTTAAAAAAAAATAAAAATAAATTATGATTTGAACATGTGAAGCCTCATCAATTTTATTTTTAGGCCCTTAGAGATTATATATATATATATATATATTAGTTTAGCGCATCATTCGTTTCTTTGCTTAGTAGAATAATATATATTATTAGAGTTCGACTACAGACACATCATTTTCTATTGTATTTTCTAAGCAATAGAAAATAACATGACTCTAATTATATTGATATCATTAAGGGTCATAAAAATTTAGAGAGCTTTTTTAAAAGCAAGATCTTAGGCATTTGTCTGACTCACCTAATATATATATATATATATATTAGTTTAGCCCATCATTAAGTGTCTTTGCTTAATAGAATAATATATATATATATATATCACTAGAGTTCGGCTACAAACACATCATTTTCTATTGTATTTTCTAAGCAATAGAAAATAACATGACTCTAATTATATTGATATCATTAAGGGTCCTAAAAATTTAGAAAGCTTTTTTCAATACAAAGTCTTAAACATTTATCTGACTCGCCTAATATATATATATATTAGTTTAGCCCATCATTAAGTTTCTTTGCTTAATAGAATAAAATATATATATATATATATATACATATATATATCACTAGAGGCTAACTACAGACACATCATTTTCTATTGTATTTTCTAAGTAATAAAAAATAACATAACTCTAATTATATTGATATCATTAAGGGTCCTAAAATTTTATAGAGCTTTTTTCAATACAAGGTCTTAGACATTTGTCTGACTTGCCTAATATATATACACATATATTAGTTTGGCCCATCATTAAGTTTTTTTGCTTAATAGAATAATATATATATCACTAGAGTCTAACTACAAACAAATTATTTTCTATTGTATAGAAAATAACATAATTCTAATTAAATTGATATCATTAAGGGTCCTAAAAATTTAGAAAGGTTTTTTCAATTCAAGGTTTTAGATATTTGTTTGACTGGCCTAATAGATAGACCATCCAAACTTTCTCACCAAAGTTCAAAAATGCTTTTGAAAAAAGCTTTTCACTCCACAATGCCACAATTTTTCCTATTTTGGATAATTTCTAACTAGCTTTAAAGAAGGCTTAGCAAGCTCAAGTAGTACCACTGTCGAGTAGAGGCCCAAATCCTATGGGATCCCCATGGGCCCTTTCTGAAGAGTTTTTTTTTTTTTTTAATATTCCAAAAAAAGAAACTATTTAGAGAATTGACTTACTTTCTAAACTATTTAAGAAACTAACCTACTTTTGAAATCGTATTTTGAAAATGCAAATTTAAAATTAAAATTACATTTTTAGCATGCGATTTCACCTTAACAACATATATATCACTAGAGTCTCGCTACAAACACATTATTTTCTATTGTATTTTCTAAGCAATAGAAAATAACATAATTCTAATTAAATTGATATCATTAAGGGTCCTAAAAATTTAGAAAGGTTTTTTCAATACAAGGTTTTAGATATTTGTTTGACTGGCCTAATAGATAGACCATCCAAACCTTCTCACCAAAGTCCAAAAATGCTTTTGAAAAACGCTTTTCACTTCACAATGCCACAATTTTTCCTATTTTGGATAATTTCTAGCTAGCTTTAAAGAAGGCTTAGCAAGCTCAATTAGTACCACTATTGAGTAGAGGCCCAAATCCTATGGGGTCCCCATGGGCCCTTTCTGAGAGTTTTTTTTTCTTTTTTTAATATTCCAAAAAAAAAAAAAATATTTAGAGAATTGACTTACTTTTTAAATTTTTTAAAATTGAAATTACATTTTTAACATGCGATAATGCGATTTTAAAATTGAAATTACATTTTGAACATTCAATTTCACCTTGAAATCGCATGTTAAAAATGCGATTTTAATTGAAATTGCATGTTGAACATGCAATTTTACTGTGTCATCATTTTTCAACTTGCAATTTTAAGATGAAATTGCATGTTCAAGATGCAATTTCAATTTCAAAATCGCATTTTGAAAATGCGATTTCAAAAAGTAAGTCAATTTCCTAAATAGTTTGAAAAGTGGATCAATTTTTTAATTATTTTTTTTTTTGGGAATATTTTTTTTTAAAAAAACTCCCCTTTCTGATGTGTCACCACCAATCCAATTGGTTTAAGGTTTACAACTCATATTTTTCTTTTTTTGGAAGGGTTAGGTTGCTCTCTCTATGCCCCAAGATTTTACCATCTGATTTTTTTTATACACTTTGAAAATATATGAAGAAAATACAAATATTTATTTATTCAAAATTGTAAAACTCACTATTTTAAATTAATCAATATATGTTTTAAATATAAAATTTACTATTTTTAGATCAATCATAATATGCATATTGTTCACACATTTTAAAAGGGCGTGATGAAACCAACTCGTTTTGCAATAATTGTGCTCCTCCTTAGCCAAAACCAATCAATGATTCACCCACCAATGAGGTCTCGCCATGTCAGACGGATTAATAATACAATGGCCGGGCCCATTCCATTGCGGGTCCTAATCCCATTGGGGAGGAGCTTAAGTGTTCCTAAGTATATCTAGTATGATTGGCTTTATATAAAAGATAATGATTATAAACACAATTTTCACCATATATATATATATATAATGAAAAAAAAAAAACTCATTCAAAACGATGCCGCTGCATTTTAAAATTATGAATCAAAATAATAAGCTTATAAAAATTTTGTATAAAAGATTTGATTTTATATCATTAGTGATATATCTATCCTATAAATAAGGTAGACAACCATTTGGTATTTAAGCTTTTTGAAACTTCGTTACTAGACAATTTTCAAATTCGACCCATGTTTCTCATTCATCATGTAGTTCAAAAATTAAAATAAAAAATTATAGATTTGTGATGTTTGCTTCAATCACTAATATATGTATATTCGTGATTTGATGCAATTTTCTGCTTATAACTTATTAGGTAGAAATAACTTAAATAATTAAAAAAATTTAATTATTTGAAAACTTTAAAAAAAAATTAACTTTTAATTTCTAATTATTAACTTTCAACTTATAATAAGTTGCGTTAAACATGTTTGTACGAGATTGTTTGAGATGTGCTATATAAGTGCACTTTTTGACCTTTTAACTAAAAAAGTAGAGAAAAAAATATGTATATTTAGGATAACTTTTTGACGTCTTACGAAAAAATGTGTAATAAAATATTATAGCAAATATGAAAATTACGTAATTACCCTTCCTGACACGTGCAGGATGAAGAGTGGAGTTTCCGTGCATTTCATTTTTTTTTATGGGAATTCATGGCAAAAAATGTGCCATATAAACTGCATTTGGCATTTTGCAATGAAACACTGAGCTGCACTATTTTGTTTTTTTGTTGTTTTTTTTTTTGACCCCACCGTGCTGCATTGCTGGATAGATAGTTTGGATTTTGTTGTTGAATTCAACAAGAAAGATAGTTTGGATTTTGTTGTTGAATTCAACAAGATAGTTTCGATTTTGTTGTTGAATTCAGAAAGAGCATAATTGTTGTTGAATTCATGTTTTATTTATTTTTTTAATTTTTTTTTGACCCCACTGTGCTGCATTGTTGGATAGATAGTTTGGATTTTGTTGTTGAATTCAACAAGATAGTTTCTTTTTTGTTTTTTGTTGTTAAATTCAACAAGAGCATAATTGTGGCAACACAATTGTACTGCAATTTAAAAAAAACAAACAAACAAACAAACAAACAAAAATAAAAAAACAAAAATATAAAAGGGCTGCAATTTTTTTTTAAAAAAAACGAGTGATGTGCTATTGTTGGTCAACAAATGTGCATTTTTTTGGGTTCCACTATGCTAATTTTTTTTTTTTTATAAAAAAATGGTAATTTAGCCCTTGCATATTTCTCTTGCAATTTCATCAATGTTTTCAACAAGTCATACCTTTT